TGCATGTGTGTGTGTTACTGCACTGTATGTGTGTGTGTTACTGCACTGCATGTGTGTGTGTTACTGCACTGCATGTGTGTGTGTTACTGCACTGTATGTGTGTGTGTTACTGCACTGTATGTGTGTGTGTTACTGCACTGTATGTGTGTGTGTTACTGCACTGTATGTGTGTGTGTTACTGCACTGTATGTGTGTGTTACTGCACTGTATGTGTGTGTGTTACTGCACTGTATGTGTGTGTGTTACTGCACTGTATGTGTGTGTTACTGCACTGTATGTGTGTGTGTTACTGCACTGTATGTGTGTGTTACTGCACTGTATGTGTGTGTGTTACTGCACTGTATGTGTGTGTGTTACTGCACTGCATGTGTGTGTGTTACTGCACTGTATGTGTGTGTTACTGCACTGTATGTGTGTGTTACTGCACTGTATGTGTGTGTGTTACTGCACTGCATGTGTGTGTGTTACTGCACTGTATGTGTGTGTTACTGCACTGTATGTGTGTGTGTTACTGCACGGTGTGTGTGTGTTACTGCACTGTATGTGTGTGTTACTGCACTGTATGTGTGTGTGTTACTGCACTGCATGTGTGTGTGTTACTGCACTGTATGTGTGTGTTACTGCACTGTATGTGTGTGTGTTACTGCACTGTATGTGTGTAAGTTACAGTGTTTCTCAAACTTTTTCTGCCATTCCCCACTTTGAAGGTAGGGAAGGGTTCGTGCCCCACCTGTCCTCATGCAATCGCCCCAACAAAATGTTAATAAACTAGGCTTTAAGTTAAAATGTATTTTATTAACATGACATTTTAAAAACATGAACATGACAGTAGATAAAAATAATAATGCAATTGTGTTTGTATTTTGCCTCTGATAACATCAAATTCAGAAACGGAGAAAATAAAAGTGTGGACTAGTTGTGCTTTGCTTTACTATTTTGTCACTTCGCAAACTGCATGCAAAAAGAACAAACAAAATTGAAAAAGAATAATAATAATCTCAGGGTTTTTCCTGGCTCAAAACGAGGCGGAGGTGGTAAAATCCTAATGTACGTATTTTAGGTATTTTTATAATAATAATTGTATTTTGTATTTTTCGAAGACTATCATATAAGCTCCTGTGTTTCCCACAGTATTTTGCGTGTGGTGTGGACCTCTGCACCCCTAGGGGGGTCCGGGGTCATGCTCCCCCGGAAGAAAAGTTTGTACGTTTTAAAGATAAATTCCTAAATCTGGTGCACTTTGAAAGTTCAACATTAAAGTCCCTGTAAAGGCAATACATACACATCAGTGTGCCGCTCAATCGCGAGTTACTGTCAGTACTATTATTAGTAACACAGCCTACAGATTGCTAGCTACTAGCTATGCCTTCGTCACGGAAATGCGTACTACCTGGATGCGATCACCGGATCACGTACAAAACAGATCGGTGTCCTTGTTTAAATTTCCGAAAAACGATTACATCAAGAAGAAGTGGATTAATTTTGTGAAGAGCCACCTTGATGGAGAGCTGAGGATCACCGCCAAAACCCGCCTCTGTAAGTAATCATTTTACACGGGATAGTTTTATAAACTTTCGTCGGAGACAACTGGGATTCACTGATAATCCGCTGTTACTGGTGAATGGGGCCGAACCGACTCCTGCCTCAGCCTTCATCCTCCCGTCGCGCGGACAACTGGTGCCATTCGGCAGTGCGTGCCCACCGTGCGAGCATCCATTCCGGCTGTAGAGTTGAGTGTGGCGAGTCGACGACGGCAGCTTTCCCGCGAGTGGGCGTGGTTTCAGCGCAGCCAGTGGACACGCCCCCAGCGTTTGAGAGCAGAGATTACTGCTCATTTTTTCAAGATTTTGATAGCTTATTTTATGTACTTACTGGCTTTTTTTATCATTCAAATTTGGCTGGGTGGCTAATAACACATTTTTCTGTGGTGTGACAAACTCAAAACACATACTTAATTTTGACTTTACAGGGACTTTAAGTGATTAACTAATTTAGTGTCTGCAATGAGCCTGTTTTGTAGTATGCTATATTTTCTGAGCCAGAGACGGAGAGCGCTCACCGCTTGACATCACAACTATTCAGTGTTTTCAACCACATAATGTTTATTTTAGGTTTCAGACATTTAAATTCACATAAGTCCTAAAAAAGCAATACATTTAGAGTTAGTCAAATACACACTTATGTCTATGGAAGCGGCAATAATAATTATTTCCATTATAATTAGACGACATGTATTATTCATATCAAATACACATCGTGTAAGTAACTTTCAAGTTTACTCTATGCTTCTCCCAGGTCACCGGCCACTTACTTTCATGTATTTCGGGAGAAGTGGATAAATTGACGTTTGTTAAATCCAACAGATCCGATTCTCTAAAATCCGGCATAAACTAACGCCCAGCGCGTATAGCTCAACTAAGGTGTTTAAACAACAAAACGCATCCACTTGCTCATATTTGACAATCGGAATATCAGATATTTCCTGCTAAAGCCAACAAAT